GGATGAAGGGAAAGAGTTGTACAATTTACTTGGTTTTTATTCATTCATCCTCTCCTACAAATTCTGTAAAATTGTAATCAACACAATTAACAAGCGTATTTACATTCCTGAACTAAACCAGTTAACAACCTCATCCTTCATAGAATCCCTTAATAGATGCCACAACATTTAAAATCCACTCCAAAAATGTAATCCTACTTTCTAATACTAAATTTTTAATCAGAGTTCATCAAAAAGTACAATAAAGTATAATAAGACTACCTGTTTCCTGAAACTAAAAAGAAAGAGCAAAAAATAGACACATAATTTCCAAACATGTCTAATTAAATTTAAATCCTCTTGGTATTCCATCAGCTATCACAAAAAAACTTAATGTAAAAAAGACAAAAATATACCAGTATATTTTCAAACCATATTTTGAATCAATATTCCCTAGAGGATGTTTAGGAATGAAAAAAATATATCAAATACTAATTTCCTAGCTCTCCACCACAGCATATTTGTTAAAGTAAATACAAACCTTGGACTTTGCTAAAACATCATCTCTTTTGGCAGCTTCCCCCATTAAAACCATATGATTTAATAAATCTTTTTGTGAAGGCATAACCTCATAAGATCTGCAAATAATTTATTTGAAAAAATGTCACGATACATATTTCCACAATTTCCACAACAATTAGGAGAGAAAGAACTTCAGAACACTGAAAATTACCTAAACTCCTTTTTCTTGCTCAAGTTATCCCACAAAGATTTGGCAGATGTGTCAGGATACTTCTTCACATAACTCAGGAAGTGAATGGTGATCAAAATAGTCCTTATGATATCCTCATAGCTCTTCCTAGGCCTCTCAAGTTTAATCCATTTCACATCCTTAGAAAGCACCGATATCTCCGGCCTTACATAGGAAAGATCAAACCTCCACGCAACAACTTGAGTGAAAAATTTCTTCAGTCCGTTATCCACATAACCGTTCAAGAACACCTGCTTTTTTTTACCAACTGGACTCTCAGACTCACTCCACTGAATTGGCAACACAGAAAAAGACACAGGCCCTTCGTCGTCATCTTGAAAATGGTAATTCACTATAGATAATGGCTGAGCCTCTCCCTCATCATCTGAAGAAGCCATTTCTCTTCTTTTTCAACCCCCCCAAACCCTAACCACTCAACACCTAAGCAACAAAAACACAAAACATATGTAATGTCGTAACACATGCAACAAATTCACATAACCACTAACTAAATGCACAATTTGAAGATTTGAATATTCAATTGTATAATCAAGAGCGACAAAAAATGAACTCGAGGAAAATCAAATTTAATGATTCTGATACGAGTAATAATGAGAAAACGTGGAACTGAGGGATATATCCATGCAACATAGAACCCTAAGAAAGTGCAATTTGCGAGGGTTTTAAAAGAACGAAAAATGAAAAAACGACGGGAAGAAATGCAACGTTGCATGAGAAGGATGGAGTTGTGTACCTTCTGTGATGATGAACAAGACAGCGTTGCGAGGGTTATGGTGATGGCTTCTAGTTTTTAGTGCGAGTACCAGACAAAAGAAAAGGGAAGGGAAGAGACGCGTGCGTACGACTGTTAATATGTGGGAGCGTTCCACCGGAACATTTCCTGTCTTTTGGATACCGTAAATTCCATGCTTCAACTCTTCCGGAAAATTCGAATGAATCGCAAGCAAAGCAAAGTATAAATCTATGTGGATTCTTGATTTTATAATTTTTAATTTCAGGACTAATTTTGACAAAATGGATATTTATTCTAATTTTGACAAAAAAAATTATAGGGTGCAAAAGAATTGATTTTGTGGATGGGTAAAAAAATAGCAAGTTTGATGTAGTTTTTACGTGTGTTTTTTATTGAGTTTTAATTATAATTAAAATTTCATTTTATAAATTAGTTTTTTTTTTTTACATCAAATAAGGAAGAAAAAAAAAAGTTAGCAAACTCTAATAAAAAAAACAAGCATAGCAAACACAAGGATAGTGAGATGTTATGGAAAAATATTAAAAATTAAATAAACAGTCTCCTGAGATATGTCAAGTTTTGTCAATGAATTTATAATATTATTCTCTTCTCTAAAAATTTGTTGGAATACTAAAGATCATTTTGTAGCAGTGAAAGTCTTTATCATTTTCAATAAGGAAGCATATTACTGAGATGAAACCAAATCTTGAGTGATTAATACTAGAACTGATTTAGAATCTGATTCGCATATTTGGTTGTGAATATCTCTATCTCAAGCAAGTTGGAGACCCTGGTGAATAGCATGAAGTTCATCATCCATTATTATTGTATTCACAAAAACCAACAAAACCTACTACCCAATTAGATTATGTATTCATTGTAACTCCATCAAAACCTAATATTTCTGGGTTGTCCATGGAGCTCTCATTAGTTTTAAGTTTGTAGCAATCTTGTGATGTGGTCTCCATCTCACTTACATTTATTGTTGAATTCGAATTGCCAATCTTTAATGTCTTTGGTGTAACACCTGAGTTTTTTATTTTTTCTAAATAATTAATAAAGGCTTTAATTAATTAAGAGGATTTTTTTAGGAATAATGTAGTTAATTTATTTAATTATGTATGTATTTTAAATAATTATCTAATTAACTGTATTGGGAAAATATATGATTTAGGTTATAGGTTATTTGAGAATATTTTATCTTTTTATCTTAAAAAAAAAGATAAGGATAGGAGCAAATTTATAAATTTAGATTTAAGTATGTTAGGGTTACACTTGTTATTTTAACGCTTATGCTCTGCCCTCTATGCTTTGAAGAAACTAAGGAGCTATTAGGAGATCTAGAAGACGACTACTCTAGAGGCATGCGATTATTTGCAATTGCTTATTGAGGTAAAAGGGAGTGAATAGAATTGCTCTTGAGTGTGAGATATTTGTAGGGTAGTGAGGTTAGCCCCTAATCCCGTTGATTGTATATGTATGTGGTGAGGGAGAAACCCCAATCATGTTGTGTAATCTATAAATTAATGATTTGTGTCCTTTGTATGCAATCTAATTATTTTGATTGATAGTTATGAGTGTTTAAGTTAATGTTAATTTATGTGATTGTGGATCATAGGGTGTCAATAGGTTCTTATAGGAACCCTAAGGATAGATTAAACTAAATTAGTAAGAAATAATTAATCATGTGCGATAAAACATGTGATTAATGATTTATTAATGCATGAGTAGGACTTTAGAAAGTGTGCACTGATTGAAATTAATAAATTGAGTCTTGCATATGTATTACATGATGTTCGCATTTCTACAATGTCAAAATTTCTTATATGGCGTCGAGCACTGTGAAGGGTCGTTAGGCGTGGGAATGACAAGGAGCATAGGCTGCTATCTATGCCACTTACGCTAAGCATGGGATGGTCTATGTTGAGTGTGGGAGCTCTAAGGGCTCCCCGGTACTTCTTTATCAAACGTGAATGTAGTCACACCTAGGGTGTTAATTCTTTCAGAAAGCAACATGTGCTCTCTATCTAGATTACACCGGGCACTACCCTACAAACATTTAGTTGATTGTGAAAGAGAAAAAAAAAATCAGAAAGGACGGGAGGGCGGAGATAATCTAGAGAAACTTACAAGATAAACAAGTGTAAAATCTAAAAAAATGATGATCAAGTGTACTACACAAGCTATTAACATTTATTGATAGACACCTAAAGAGACCTGTTTTAATTTTCTACGGTCATTAAAAGCATCTAATTTCGAGTTTAACGACTCAAGATGTGACTTGTGCAAGACAAAATATTAAAATTAAAACTAATAAGATTTACTAAAGTGAATCACAACCAAATTACCAATTTAAAACACTCATAAAAGTCAAATGAGCCTAATATAATATATAAAAGGATGTATCAAATATGTTCTCCATTAAATAACAATAAAAAAAATATATCATTTTTATACAATTTTACTAAAATAATATATTCTCTCAATAAATACCTTACTTTTAATGTATTAAAAAGTAAAAATACCTTTGAAACATTTTATAAATGTTGAAACTACCTTTTATTAAATGAAAAAAAAAATTCTTATTAAACTTAATGCCAAATCCAAAAATGGAAGAAAAAGATGGGTGAGAGAGGGCGAGAGAGATAAAAAGAGAGAGTGGACCTTGGTGAGATCAAGAAGATGGAATGATTTGCGATCGGGATTGGACATAGGTAAAACAAAAGTATTCTGGTTGTGTTACTTACTTTTTCTCAAATTTTCCAGAAGATTGGTACTGAGATATGTGGGAAGTCTTCATGAAATGGGGAGGGAAGGTTGTTGATGTTTATATTCCTAAAAAATGAGATAAAAGAGGAGGTTGTTTTGGTTTTGTCCAATTTGTGGAGCATGCGAATCCGAGTTGGTTGGAGAAAAGGCTATGTCAAATATGGATTGGTACATTCAAACTCCATGTAAATGTATCTTGTTATGCAAGGAAGGAGGTGGGTGATGAATTACGTTGAATAAAAATTGATAGGGTAAAGGGGGAAATGAGTCACCAAAAGTGTGTAACAGGTATTGTAGTTGGGAAGTCTTATTTGGATGTGGCTAGAGAGAATGTAAGGAAGATGTGGAAGCCAAATGCATGTCAAATCTCAAAGAATGACGATACCTGAAATGGGATGGAATTTCATCTTGCGAAAGATGAAATGGAGTGGTTAAGTAAGTGCTATATTGGACAAGTGCACCAAATTGATGAAGTATTTATGCTCCAAGACAAGATTATTGCAGAAGGAATTCAAACTGTCAAGGTCATTCCTATGGGTGGTGATTTGGTCTTAATTCAACCAAATAAAGATGATAGTTTTGATGAGTTATTGAAGGAGCTGGAAGATGTTTTCTCTTAGTAGTTTGATTCAATACACCATTGGTGTCAAGAAGATGTACCACGTGCTCGATATGTATGGGTAAGATGTTTTGGTGTGCCAACACATGTTTGGTTTGAAGCGTTTTTTTCAAAATAATAGCTATGTCATTTGGGAGGTATGTGTGCATTGATAGTAGAACAAAGAATATGGAAAAATTAGATGTAGCATGGATGTGGGTTTAAACTACTTTAGTAAAGAGTGTAAATAGATGGTTGAAGGCCCTTTTGTTCATCCTTGGAGAGTGACACTTAAAGGCCAAATTTTTAATTCACAATCAGAGTGGTCTAACCAATGTTCTTCTGGTGAGTATTCTAGTGGAGGAAGTGGGTGGGCAAGTTTTTGTCAAGGAGAATTGCAGGATGGTGATATTTTTGAATTTCAAAAGGAGGTGGAGGAGTTCAATTTGGTCAATAATCATGGGGAATTAATCTCGCAATATAAGGGGTCTGATTTGGGAGTTAACACTAATATAAAACAAGGTAGTATATATTTGGTATCTCCATATATATATATATATATATATATGATGGTGGGACATTGAATGGGTGTACTAATAATGATGGTAACTTGGCCTTGGTTGGTTTATACTCTAATGTTAGGGAAAATATCATGAGGAGTGATGTGAACACAACAAATGTTGGCTTTACTACAAGTACATTGGCCCATACTTCATGCGAAAATGGTGAAGAAGTATCTAGGTGTCAAGTTGTAGGTCAAGCAACCTTTATGGCCCATGAGGAAATTGGCACAGGTTTACAATCTACTTCAATGGCCCAATGTGTTGTAAGTTATAAGGCGCAATCAGGTGGCATATCCACTTCTTCATTGGGTCGTGCAATGTCTCCTTGTGATGTCTATCTACGTGCGTCTTTTTTTATTGACGTTGAGGTATTATGTGGTTAGCACATGGGCCGTGAGCCAAAGAAAGGTGATGAGAGACTTGGTTTGTCTTTAGTGGCCCAAAGTAATGTAAGTAACAATGCTATTCGACATGGCTCTGATGGTAGGGGACCCAAGGTAGTGTTTAATGATAATTTGGGAAAGGTGGTTTGTGAGTTGCAAGCAGAACTTGCAAATTCAGAAAGTGGTAAAAGGGGCACAAAAGGGGAAACTCAATCTTTTTGCTCTAAGTTTCCTAGATCCAAATCTTGTTGGGATGGTCTATGTGAAGATTGATTGTGCAAGGTTCCAATTCTGTTAGCAAATATGGTGGATATTTGAGTCTTTGAACCAAAAAAGAAGGGGAAGGCCGAGTAAGACAAGGTCTGAACCTGTAAGTGTTCCTGGTCTTATTTTTTATTTACAACATGCTGATAGGATGTTAAAATTGGGTGTGGATAATATAGATGGTCATGTTTGGGCGATAGGGAAGCAGTTTGAAATAAAAGGTATAAGCTTAGATGATGAGATTATTCAAAAATTGAAAAAGTATGGAGGGTAGAGATCAGGTGGTTATTGGTAGAGGAAGTTAGTAGGTTATTTAGATGATAAAGATTTGCTATAAAGGTGTTGATCTACATTGAATGATAGTTGCTTCTTTGAACATAAGGAAAATAAGGGGGGAGGCTAAAAAAGATGGAGGTGAGGAAGTTAGTGTATGTTGAAAATGTTGATGTCATTTTTTTTATAAGAAACTAAAAAGGAAGTTATTGGGGATAGGTTTTGTGTTAATTTAATGGGTGGAACTGATTTTGATTAGGTTTGTAAATCGACTATTGGTATGTCTGAAGGTTTATTATCTCTATGGAGGAAAGATAAATTTTCATTGCTTAAAACTTTTTATGGGAAT